AAGAATTGATATTCATTATCCCATTGCCAATTTCGAGCAATTGAGTTTAAAATTGAATGCCCCTCACTCGTTGTATTTTTATATTTTTCTCACAACTCTTGTAGGTTTGTTGGACGATTTGATATGGATTTAAAATCAGTATAGTATCTGGCAGGTTCAAATTTTATTGCATTGCATTTATTTTGTCTATGAGCTGTACACAGCTGTACAGAACATGCAAACATAGTTAGCAGCTAAAATGGTAGGATAAGTTGCAACAGTTTCGTCACTTTTCCAGGTTTACATATATACCGAATACAAATTATTTTGTTAATTTTCAAAATCTTTAATTTAGAATTTAGAATTTATTTCTCTAAATAAGCACTTCTGACTTTTTCGTCACATCAGCGCAACCCATCACAACGAAACATATCTATGAACATGGTAATAGATAAAACTAACATATAACTAAATCATGGTGTCAATCAGTACATCGCAACGGGTTACGATTGCATATATGTGTAAAAACTATTTTATATAAATATATAAGTTCTATAAAAATGGTATCTGTTAGATTATAAAAATTTTACATATAACAGAGAAACCTACACCGGAAGACTCGTCTAATACTTGTAATCATATGTAAATTTTATCATTATCATATTATTATACATTCAAATTATGGTATATGTACTTTGAGTCTAACAATTATTATAAGAACTTAATCACATAATTGCGCAACATAAAAAACTTGTTTAATTATCGACAAGTAATTTTTCTTTAAAAACTAAGAAAATACGAAACAATATAAGTCTATTGGATTGCTGATTTGCAGTCAATCCCGCAATCTGCGTGAAATAGTACTGTCAACATGGAGTTAATAAGAATCCTTGCATACTTTATTTTCGGAAGTTTCCTGCTCATATACTTGGCATTGAAGAGAAACAATTCCTATTTTAGTAAACGTGGCATATTGCATGATAAACCAGAACTGTTTTATGGCAATCTCAAGGAGTTTACGCGATCCAAAACATTATATCAAATTATTCGTGAATATTATATGAAATATAAAGGAACTGGGAGATTCGTTGGATTCTATTTATATATGCGAAAAGCGATGGTGTTATTAGATCTTGATTTAATTCAAGATATATGCGTTAAGGATTTTGAAAATTTTACTGATCACGGACATTACTACAACGAAAAAGATGATCCAATTTCTGCACACTTGGTACATTTGGATGGTGTACGGTGGAAAACAATGCGAGCGAAATTAACTCCAGCTTTTACAACTAGAAAAATTAAATTCATGCTTACTTCAGTAGTCGACATTGCAAATCAGTTAGTCAATGTTTTGGAAGAAACGTTAAGTTCAACAAATATGGATGATGGGGTTCATTGTGATAATCTTATGGTACGGTACACAACCGATGTTATTGGAAGTGTTGCATTCGGTTTAAAATGTAACAGTTTAAAGGAACCAAATTGCGAATTTAGAGAAATTGGTGAAAAACTTTGCTATTATAGGTACAGTATGCCTATTGTGTCATTAATGAATTTATTTCCAAATTTGTTTCGAAAACTAGGATTTAAAATTATTATTGAAGAAGTTTCTCAATTCTTTTTTCGAGTTGTTCGTGAAGCTGTGGATTATCGAGATCGAACTGGTGAACAACGGAAAGATTATCTTAACATTCTCATGGAGTTAAGAAAACTAAATACAGCAGATAATTTAACAATGGATGAAATAACTGCACAAGCATTTGTATTCTTTGTAGGAGGTTTTGAAACAAGTGCTAGTGTACTTAGTTTTTGCTTATATGAATTGGCATTAAATCAAAACATACAGGAGAAGGCCAGAAGAGAAATAAATGAAATCATTGCTCAGCATGATGGAAAGCCAACCTATGAAGCAGTAAAGGAAATGAAATATCTACTTCAAGTTATGTATGGTGAGTTGTTAGGTGTGACAGATGTAATAAACAAAATATCATAAGACAATTTTTTTCTGTTTGCTATTAGAAACTATTCGTATGTATTCAGTAGTTCCGGGTCTTGTCCGCAAAACCGCAGAAGACTATATTGTATCTAATACAAATTATGTTATTGAAAAAGGAACTACTGTGATTATACCATTGGATGCCATACACTATGATCCAGATATATATCCAAATCCTGAACAATTTGATCCAGAACGATTTACAAAGACAGAAGTCGAAAATCGTCATCCAATGGCGTGGTTGGGGTTTGGCAGAGGAGGTCGAGCATGTATTGGTTATAGATTCGCGGAAGTGCAGGTGTTGATTGGATTATCTTTATTACTTAAAAATTTTCGATTTTCGCCCACACAGAAGACCCAGATACCAATGAAGTTTAATATGTACAAATTGTTTCGAGGTCCTGAAAAGGGAGTTTATTTGAAAGTGGAGAAATTATGAATAATATTTTAAATACGGATAACATTTCTTTTAAAAAGTTGTTGAAGTATATGAAATTAAGAATATATTTTTAAAAATAATTGTTATACATATCAATAAATGGTATTTAAATAATTTTAAAACATAAGTTGTTTTTTAATTAGTTTGTAGTATTTAGACTTCATGGAGTGTAGCTAGGTATCACAATAGAAAAAAAGTTAATCAGTAGACTTGCTTATGGAAGTAGTTTTTCATTTTATATCAATTATTTGTCATTACAGGTAGTTAATTGAATATTTGAAAAGAAAAACTCTTCATAAGACATAGGTTCATTACTGTCCACTTTGTTTGTATTCATAGCAATCGGCTTAAGGTAACCGATTGGTGGATTTAAGATACATAATTATATTTTATTATCCCAATTATCATCACTTTGTTTTAATTAAAATTGTTTTTTATTATCTATTATCTTCTTTCTATATTATATTTTATTTATTTACAAATACTTTGTTTCATTTTCATGTGTCTATTTTTATTATTTTAGACATATATTGATCAAAGTTAAATCAGTAATTTATTATACTAGTGGAAACTATCGATTGTACTATTGAAAACATTTTACCAAAGAACTATATTTGTATATATTTGTAATGTATAGCTGTTATACATTAGTGTATGAAATTTATGTCTTTAATAGTGACATTGTTTACTAACCTGGTAGATGAAATAATTGAGAATATATTTTCGCGAATGGATTTGAAAGTAAGACAATTAATAAATGTCCATCTATGGATGGTCGGCTATTACAAAAGATCGCCAAGTGAAAGGTGCTCATGAGACTGTTTTATATATCCATTACGTAATGAATTTTTGATGAGTGCATGATTGCATGTAAATTTGTTTTTATCTACGGGTATTTATGGACTTGTAGCGATGGTTGTTAATAATATAATTGTTAAAAACTGTTAATGTGTCTTTTTTCTGGGATAAATCAGGTAGAAGGAATATGAGAGAATGAACAACGGCAAATGGGTTGCTAAGTTCATTTTGAAATCAATACAATTTATAACAATCTACAAAATTTTCATTCAATACAAATGATCACATTTTGTTTATATTGATGCATATATAAAAATTATATACGCCTATACATTACTTAATCAAATGCAAATTTTAAAAGCAATGTTTATGCTTCTTTTCATATAAATATAAAAAAATTTCGATGATACATTAGTAGGCGATCTATCTTACGGGGGTGTATAAAAGCTCTAATCTTACTATATATCCTATACCTATACCTATATTTAAAACTTATACTTCTGTAATAATGTGTGTACTTTACGACATTGTATGATTTGACCCCACGTTCGATTTTGAGCTTCGGACTAGTTTGATGTCGGGGTGCAAAACGGTGCAATAGAGAAAAATGAAATATAAAAACATTGATTTAGATAATGTGAAGATTGTGTATTTAGTTTCGCCTATTTTTAAGTTTCTACGTTTTCTAAAATAAATATTGCGGCTTTGCAATACTTAAGCGTGCTTTATATAATTTTCTATGAAAAAACTTGTATTCTCTACGTTTACACTCCAAATTCTCACTGTTTGGCAAATGTCATTCAGATTGAGATTTAGAAGTGCAATGGAGGCATCTGTCAATGGGTATTTCAAGCGATATAACGTATACTCACCTTCTTGAATACTAATTTGATTGTATTACCGAATGGATGTGTGTCTTGATACGTAGTCAATATAATGATTGGTGAGAAAAATATTAAGATGCAAAATAAGATGCGATAGTTCAAACTTAATTCAAACTTTCATTTTCGTCGATTACGGTATCTTTGAAGTTAATTGAAAACATTTTACTATCCAGCATATCATGAATTTTATTAGTTAATTGTATCAACATCAGCATATTTGGTAACAAATATAATCAATGATCTTTTGAATGATCTTTTTCTGTTTTTTGGATTGAGTGTGATATCAAAAATTATTTGGATATTTCAGTGCCTGCCTAGAAGAGTGGATATGCATTGAGTCCCGTAGGAAAGTCATTTGAAATTTGCACTCTTTTATTTGTGGTCAATTTAAATTTCTACACTCTGTATCATTTTAAAGTTAATTTTAAACATACACTTATTTTGACTGCATATTTTAACTGGGGCACAACTCGTAATGTTTGTCTGAATTCGCCTAGGAGGAATATCAAAGCACCACAAAACAGTCTGTCGTTTCTTGATATGGCGTCCAGAACTTTCAAGAACTTAAGCAATAACGGTATATTGTTTAATGTTAGACATTACATTTTCATTAGTATGAATGCTTGAAGGCAATTTCAATAATTCGGTATCTTTGTTTGTAAATCAGAATATTCTTGTGTAGTTTTTAAAGAATATTTTCGTAAATCGCAATAAACACTGTATATCTATTTGGCACCTGTTTGGTGATAGATGAATAGTGCATAAATCTTATCCTCAAGGCTTTAAGTTTGAGTTATGTACACTGTACAGGGTTTGGCAACCGTCATATAGAATCAGTCACCAGCGATGCACGTAATGAAGCCTCTGATATGGCAATCGAGTGTTGACGATGATTAAGAATCATGCTTAACTTATATGGGTCATTCTTTACAAACCGTAAACGGATAAACGGATTTTGGCAAAAAATGATCTCATGATCTCCGATTTGGCTGAAATTTTTTTATGAGCTCCTTTTATAATATAAAAAGAAAAAGATTAGATGAAAACAAAAATACATGTAAACGTAATGATGATGGGGAAAAAACAGCTCTTTCTGAACATTCTCATTCTAGTGGATATTATTTAAACTTTGATGAAGTAATAACGCTTGAAATCGAAAATAATTATCAAAAAAGATTAATGAGTGAAGTTATTTACATCATATTAAATAATGGTAAACTACAAGAGAGACACCGATAATTTTAGCACATTTTACTCTAATTAACTGGATAAATACCAGTTGATCAGAGATAAGAGATAAAAACCAATAAAACTTAGCCGTTTGGTTTATATTTACTGAAAAATATGAAGAGAAAAAAGAGAACGTTCTGATTTTTGGCCCAATATCATCATATTGTTTTAGTTTTCTTAGTTTTGTTATATATGTCCAAAAAATTAGTTTTAATTTGTGATTTTTAATTTTTCTATTTTAAGTGGTTAATTGTATTTTTATTGTTAATTACGATAGTTGAACACCAAATGAATGCATTTTAAAGAATCAGGTATTTATATATCAATGTGTTGACGAAGCACAGATAAAGTTCTTGAATAAAGAACAAAATATTTGCGAATATCTTTAACTAAATGCGTCTCATTGTTCGTGTCTTATAGCTGATAAAAATCTAAACAACAAAAAAAACGAGTAGTATTTTTGACCGCTGTAGGTAATATAAAAATGATGTCTGTTAAATTACAAGAATTCAACATTCAACAGAGGAACCTATACCTACTTTCAACAGACCCGTCAAATACTTGTAATCATATGTAAATTTTATTATTATCATATTATTATACATTCAAATTATGGTATATGTACTTTGAGTCTAACAATTATTATAAGAACTTAATCACATAATTGAGCAACATAAAAAACTTGTTTAATTATCGACAAGTAATTTTTCTTTAAAAACTAAGAAAATACGAAACAATATAAGTCTATTGGATTGCTGATTTGCAGTCAATCCCGCAATCTGTGTGAAATAGTACTGTCAACATGGAGTTAATAAGAATCCTTGCATACTTTATTTTCGGAAGTTTCCTGCTCATATACTTGGCATTGAAGAGAAACAATTCCTATTTTAGTAAACGTGGTATATTGCATGATAAACCAGAACTCTTTTACGGCAATGTCAAGGAGTTTACGCGATCCAAAACATTATATCAAATTATTCGTGAATATTATATGAAATATAAAGGAACTGGGAGATTCGTTGGAATATATTTATATATGCGAAAAGCGATGATGTTATTAGATCTTGATTTAATTCAAGACATATGCGTTAAGGATTTTGAAAATTTTACTGATCACGGTTATTACTGCAATGAAAAAGATGATCCAGTTTCCGCAAACTTATTAAATTTGGATGGTGTACGGTGGAAAAGAATGCGAGCGAAATTAACTCCAGCTTTTACATCTAGAAAAATTAAATTCATGCTTACTTCAGTAGTCGACATTGCAAATCAGTTAGTTAATGTTTTGGAAGAAACGTTAAGTTCAACGAATATGGATGATGGGGTTCATTGTGATGATCTTATGGTACGGTACACAACTGATGTTACTGGAAGTGTTGCATTCGGTTTAAAATGTAATAGTTTAAGAAACCCGAATTGTGAATTTATAGCAATCACTAAAAAGCTTTGCTATTATAGGTACAGTATGCCTATTGTGGCATTAATGACTTTATTTCCAAATTTGTTTCGAAAGCTAAAATTTAAATATATAATTGAAGAAGTTTCTCAATTCTTTTTACGTGTTGTTCGTGAAACTGTGGAATTTCGAGATCGAACTGGTGAACAACGAAAAGATTTTCTTAACATTCTCATGGAGTTAAGAAAACCTAATACTGTAGATAATTTGACAATCGATGAGATAGCTGCACAAGCATATGTATTCTTTGTAGCAGGTTATGAAACAAGTGCTAGTGCACTTAGTTTTTGCTTATATGAATTGGCATTAAATCAAGACATACAGGATAAAGCCAGAAGAGAAATAACTGAAACCATTGCTCGGCATGATGGAAAGCTAACTTATGAAACAGTAAAGGAAATGAAATATCTACTTCAAGTTATGCATGGTAAGTTGATAAGAATAACGAATACAATGATCAAAATATTCTAACAAAATATCTTTCTTCCATTTGCTATAAGAAACTATGCGTATGTATTCAATAGTGCCGTTTCTTTCCCGCAAAACCGCAGAAGACTATATTGTTTCTAATACAAATCATGTTATTGAAAAAGGAACTACTGTAATTATACCAATGGATGCCATACACCATGATCCAGATAAATATTCAAATCCTGAACAATTTGATCCAGAA